AGATGCTGCCAGACCTGCTGAGCTTTTCCAGCAACTTTGTTTTTGTTCCTGATTTACAGCATCCGCAGTTCTTTTGGTTTTGATTCTTCACTGGGATTGGGCATTTGGAAAGGATATCGCTAGGAAAATGTTGAATTGTTCTTATTGCTGCTAATGACTGGATTTTTTTGAACTGCATTTTATATAGTTTTGTTTCCTCCCTTTTGTGAAATAAATTTGCATTCTTTTCTGAAAGAACATTGACACCTTCTCTGTGTCAGCATGGGTTACCGCCCTTGGGTTGACTGGCTTTGATAAATTGTCCATAGTGTCCAGGGGTGTGTAGACTAAGTGGATTAGTCATGGTAAATATAGAGGTATGGGGATAGGGTGGGGTTTGGGTATGGGTGGGATGCTCTTTGGAGGGTAGTGTAAACTTGGTGGGCTGAATGGCCTCTTTCTGCACTGTAAGATTCTGTGACAGCCTTGTGTGAATATATTCAGTGACTAATCACAAAGGTAACCTACTGCATAATTAATCATATGGTCTCTCAAGCCAGGTTTCACTGGGATCTAAATTTTCCACTATTGCCATTAGATGGGATTATAAAAGTTAATATTCCAACAAGGTATAGGGATTGACATTCACATCTCAGTTATGATGGCATTTATTTGAGATTTAGTGCACTGTGTTACTGTATAGATTCAGATTAGAGATTATTAGACAATTTAATACTTAATTGCATCTTTCAAAGTTTGAAGCTACAGAGCATTAATTTATCTTGTTCATTTGCCAGGAATCTTATCACCATCACTGGAGGGAAGGAAATCTCTCCTCCAGTGCACGCTGTGATGTCTGTAAGAAGTCATGTGGCTCTTCAGAAGTGTTATCAGGCATTAGATGTGAATGGTGTGGGACAACAGTAAGTGAACAGTTTAATCAATGGAGCTAACTGTTTTGAATATGGCAAAAAATAATGCATAAATTGGTTTTATGCATCTTAGAGTGAGCAGAGGCAAGGAACCATGATAAGTCACCCAACTATGGTTCCCATTGCCTAGTGACTTCTAGAAAAATATTTTCCTATAATACATAAGTACTGAAAAAGCATTGTCTCTGATGAAGTAATAAATGAGTATTCTAACCAGTTGGAGTATTCGTGACTGTATCCTGTAAATAATGATTTATTTTGACCGATTTAACAACTTATATATTTTCCTGATCTTGACATGAGTAAAATGATACCTTCTATTAAATAATTACTGGGTTCTACCAAGCTGTAAGGAATCACAGAATTATTCTGAACATAACCAACAAATAACCAATTAATTGGCCCAGTTCTGAAGAAGGTTTACTGGACGCGAACATTAACTCTGCATTCTCTCCACACATGCTGCCTACTGACCTTTTCCAATATTTCCTGATTTTGTAGCCAATTAATTCTCCTGACCTGAAACATTTACTACTTGATTTGTTTATTGAATTGATTTATTTGATTTGCTTTGATTTATTGTCGTCACATGTACCAAGATACAGTGAAAGGTTATCATACTTATGTAAGTACATCAGGATAATAGAATAGAATGCAGAATATAGTGTCACAGCTGCAGAGAAGGTGCAGAGAAAGATGATCTCTAATATGTGAGAGATCTGTTCATAGAGGGAATCTTGAGGGACAGGATGTGCGTGTATTTGGAAAGGCAAGGACTGATTAGGCATAGTCAACATGGCTTTGTGCGTGGGAAATCATGTTAAACTAATTTGAGTTTTTTTGAAGAAGTAAAGAAGAAGATTGAGAGCAGAACAGTGGATGTGATCTATATGGACTTCAGTAAGGCGTTCAACAAGGTTCCTCATGGTCGACTGGTTAGCATATTAATTAATCGAAACCTGCATCTCCTTTCTAACTGATTAAAGATTAACAGCCATCTTAGGTTTGTTCAATACATTTGCATCAGTTCTATGACCCTTTGATCTTTTGCTTTCAAATTCTGTGTTGGGTGCCACCTCTCTCACTAACACCTGAAGAAGGAGTGAGACTCCGAAAGCTTGTGATTTCAAATAAACCTGCTGGATTATAACCTGTATCGTCGGTGTGGGCCAGGGTAGATTGTTGCTGATATTTACCCTAAGGAACTTGAAGCTCTCAGCCACCTCCACCTCAGTACCATTGATACAGACAGGGGCATGTCCTCCACTCCGTTTCCTGAAGTCAATGCCCAGCTCTTTCATTTTGCTGACAGTAGGGGAGAGATTGTTGTCATTTCACCATGCTACAAAGCTCTCTATCTTTTTCTTGTACTCTGTCTCATTGTTGTTTTGTGGCTGGCTATTTCCTTCTGTAGCTTGGCTTAATTTATTGGACATTGAGTGGGCAGAGGCCATTCTCGGAGGCCAAAAAGCAGTCTTGGTCCATGTGCCTCAACAGACAGTAACAGTACAATAACATGAGCAGAACCATGACATATGAAACAGCCTTTATCTTTTTATTTAAAACTTAAGTCATATCATTTGTATGTAAAGAAATGTTATCTTCCCTCCCTAACAGGTTCATGCTGACTGCTACAGTAGCCTCACACCAGAATGCAATTTTGGAAGGTTGCAGAACATGATATTGCCTCCAAATTGTGTGCGTGTTTGTGTGCGCAATTTCAGCAAGTTTCACTGTTTTCGGATATCAGAAAATGCACAAGTTGAATCAGGTAAGTTGGAGAAACTGTTGAATTTCTGGTTATTCTCCATGAATACAGTTACATTGAACTATAGTAATCTGTTGGTGATGGTAATTCCTCTCAAATATTTTTGTTTAGCATTTCAAAATTTGAATTTGAGCAAAGCTGATGAGTTGAAATTTATAACCACGGCCAACTTGTAAATGTTCTGAAGTGTGGCCTTAAAGGAAATCAAGCAGTCAGCAAAATTGATTTGGTGAGCATTGGGTGATAATCATTTATCAAATTGTGATTTGTTTCAAAAGACAGTTTACTCTGGATGTTATTATCCAGATATATTATTCTGTGTCAGTAACTTTTCATAATGTTTGTAGATATAATTGTATTTTCATGGCTAACTGATTATTCCAATTATGTTCTTCATTTTAAATGTTTTATTTTCTTTTTAAAAATCAGATGCAATGGAAAAAGAAGCCATAAGATTTGTTTCATGGATTGAACTCATTTGATTAAATTGACAAAGGTTTCTATGCTTTGTGTTAGGGCTAAGTTACTGTCTGTGGTAAAGTTGCTGATTCTAATTTTTAGATCCTTGCTCATGTTGAAGGATTGAAGATCTGTTAGTTTGACAGAGACTGCCCAGTGCTAGCTTATGTGTTCTAATGCAGCCTTTTGGCAGAGCACATGGGTGTGTGCCCACATGGTGATCATAACTCAGTTAGATTCAAGATCCTTTTGAAACAGGATAAGGATGCCCCGAAATTCAAGTTCTAAACTAACAGGAAGCAGATTTGAATAAGATCAGGTATGATTTGGCCAGGTGGAGTGGGAACCAATACTTTTAGATAAATCTATGTCAAAACTATGGGACACGCTCAAGAAGAAAATAGGGAACCTACAGGGCCAGTATGTTCTAATAAAGACAAAGGGTGGGACCAACAAATCCTGTGCACACTGGATATCAAGGGATAACCAGGATTGAGTGAAGAAGAGAAGAGAGGCTTATGGCAGAAATGAGGGCTTGATGGTAGAAGCTCCAGAGGATGTTCCCCGGTATGGAGAGATTGTCTTATGAGAAAAGGTCAAACAAGCTGGAACTGTACTAATTGGAATTTAGAAGAAAGAGAGGTGATCACATTGAACATTCCTAAGGAGCTTGACAAGGTAAATGCTGAGAGGATGTTTCCCCTCATGGGAGAGTTTAGGCCCAGAGGGCATAGTCTCAGAATAAAGGTATGTCAATTTAAGACTGCGTTGAGGAGGATGTTCTTCTCTGACTGTTAAGAGTCTTTGGAATTCCTTGCCACAGAGTGCTGTGGTGTCAGAGTCCTACATGTTTATGGCTGAGATAGATTCTTGATCAGTAGAGGAACCAAGGGTTATTGGGAAAAGGAAGGAAAGTGGAAGTGAGGAAATTTGGATCAGCCATGATCCTATTGAATGATGAATCAGACATAAGGGGCTGAATGGCCTATTCAAGGCACACAATGTTTTGGGCCAAGTGCTGGAAAATAGGATTCAAATGGTTAGATGGTTGTTTTCAACTGCTGCAGACTTGATGGGCCTTTTTCTGTGCCGTAGACCTGTGACAGTGTAGTGTGGGCATATAGCATAGGGAATGTGTTCATTCGCACATATTTAACTGTGTAATTGTGTGCTTGTGCGTGTGCGCGCGCGGGGCTGTGTGACTATTAATAATGTAGGATTCCCAAAGTAATTGGAGCATAAAGTTTGTTGCTGATATGACAGTATTTCCACAGTTGCTGACGAAGCTGATGATGATAACGTCAATACATGGAATCAAGTATCATATAAAGATGCACAGCCTGCCTCCACGACTGATTCAGGTAAATGACTTTGCTTTAATCTCTTCAGACCACTTTTATTCAGGTACACGTTTGAAAAAGAATTATTGAACAGTTGTTGAAATTTTTTAACTTCATAATTTCAGTATATTTGTTTAGGATTGTACTGTTGAACTCATAATCATAGTAGATCACAAATGGAGATGAAGTCTTTTTTGTCTGGTTGACAGATTATTTGTGGATACGCATATGTCAGATTTATTTGGGGTTCACGTGAGATTGAAAGCTAATAAAATGATACTTACTCATTCTGCTTTGCACACAGGAATTATTTTTACCTTTCTGTAATAATGTCTTGTAATAATAAAGCATCTTTAACAAAATGAAACTCCCCAAAGTGTTTCACCAGAGTAAAAACAAAGAATGATGCCAAGCTACATAAGGAAATATTAAGTGAGATGACCAGAAACTTTGTCAGATAGGTTTCTAGGAGTATCTGAAAGGAGGAAACCAAGGTTGAGAGGTGGAAAGCTGTGTGGGCAAGGCATCCAAGAGTTTGGGGGCTTTATTTGAGTGTTGAAGGAAGTAACTATACAAGTAGTGGATGCCTTCATGTCTGAAGAAGGGTCACAACCTGCTTTCCAGAGTGCTATTACATTAAACACTGAGTTTGGATGAGAAAGTGGAGATGCCCTCATTGACAAGCAGATGGAAATTGGATGGTTGTTCAACAAATAATGGTGTTGTACGGAGATATTGAGAGCAGTACTTGAAATTCCTGTAGCAGGACATGTAGGAATTTGGAAAACAACCATCAATGCACAGTTTAAAAAAACAGCAACATTTTCAGCAATTTGTTTTTATTTCCAGCATCTGCAGTTCTTTGCTTTTTTTTTAAAACAAGAACTGCGAATGCTAGAGATCTGAAACAAAGACAGGAACTGCTGGTGAAACTAAGCAGGTTTGGCAGCATTTGGGGGAAGAAAGCAGAGTTACGGTTTCGAGATCAGTGACTCTTTATCAGAACAGGTTTATCACCTTTGATAACCCAGACCAACTTTTGAAGATCCATTCTGTTGACTTCAGAGAATTGTATAGAACTATTGCCAAAAACAAAAGCAGGCCATCAGGTCATCCTAACAAATGTGGATATGATTCTCGGAAGCTATTACTTAAAGACAATTATAGCTAGGGTAGTATTGGAAGAGTTGCGCCATTTGAGTTAAAGAAGACTCCAACTATATTCAGAGATTTAGGAATCAAGTTGTAGTTGAGGTTTGTAACTCTGTAGTTTGTTTAGACAATGTAACATGGGAAGAGCATGCATGACAATTTGAAGACCTGTCCAAGCAATTATGGTTGGCTGGTTCGGTAGTAAAAAGTGAATTCACAAAAGCAGGAATAACTTACTTAGGACATATCATAGACAAGATTAAGTGTTGTCAAGGACAAAAGTGAAAGGCTCTGATAGAATTCCTTGTTCCTAAAACCAAAAAAAATTTTTAAAATGACGTGAAAGTATATGTTGGATTTACCAGAAACTTGTGCATAATTTCAGAACATTTCCTGTAACACTAACTTCAAACAAATTTGTTAAGGGAACAAGCAATGGTAGTGTGGTCAGCAGAATGTCAGACAGTCTTTGAGAAATTGAAGGCAATCTGTAAGTGAACTGGCATTAACTGCTCCTGATTGTTCCAGACCTTTCAAAATGGCAGTTGATGCTAAAGGTTTGCATGTAGATGCAGACTTGTTACAGGATGAGGAATTGGCAATAGAGAAGACAGTGGAGTACTTTTCTAAGAGACCAAGCCATATCAGGAGAGGTACGCTATTATAGAGAAAGAGGCTTTGACATGATTATTAACACTGAAGTCAATGTTGGACACAGAAACAGAGAAACATTAATCTACATGGACCATAATCCACTGCCATTTACTAAAATTTGAAACTCGACATGCAAGACTATTCAGATAGTGTTTTGTTTCAAGCAGTAAATGTAAAAATTATTCGCACTACTGAAGAGGACAATTCTCCAGCATCTGCAGTTCCTACTATCTCTGAATAAATTACTGATGCATTATCCTATATATATAATGATGGAGGCAATGGCCTAGTGGTATTATCGCTGGACTGTTAATCCAGAGACCCAGATAATGATCTCAGGACCCGGGTTTGAATCCCGCCACGGCAGATGGTGGAATTTGAATTCAACAAAATATCTGGAATTAAGAATCTAATGATGACCATGAATCCATTGTTGATTGTTGGGAAAAACCCATCTGGTTCACTAATGTCCTTTAGGGCAGGATATCTGCCATCCTTACCTGGTCTGGCCTACATGTGACTCCAGACCATAGCAACATGATTGACTCCTAACTGCCCTCTGGGCAATTAGGGATGGGCAACAAATGCTGCCTAGCCAGCCACGCCCTCATCCCGTTAATGAATAAAGGCAAAAAAATGAAAAAAGTTAAAGATCTAAGAATTGCTAATATTGTATAAGAGGAAAGGAAGCATGAATGGATGTGGGTCTTGTCTTTTGTTTATCAAATGTGATGAAATGCGTTTTTGAAATGATGTTTTATAAGGGTTGAGACATGTAAAGATCAAATCTTTTTAATTTAGTTTTTTGTCAGTTCTACATCAGTCCACAGTCAAAGTACTGAGGAAGCGACTGCAGTACTTTTAAAAAGCAAATTAATGAAATTCATTGTACCTGGTGTTTACACTGCTGCTTTGTTCAAGCAGTGAGAGAAGATGTTTGTTGACAGCACGACTGCAGATGTATGTATGCAATTCGGCAGCCAACTGGTTCCTGATTGTTTTGTGGAGATGTGACCAACTGTGGATGCCCAAGGTCATCAGCCTGACAACAATTATCTGACTGGCTCCTGTGTAGCTGATCAGCTTTTGGGTTGAAATGATACTGGCTGAAGCCTTTGGACTGCTTGAAGGGAAGACAGTATGACACTCTCGAATAAATTACCTAGAGCCTGAATAAAGCCCTGCAGTAAGCTGTTGCTTTAAATAAATGAATCAGAGAATTCATTCTTCATGAACCAACATGAGTACTGGTTAATTCAGTCAACAGTTTTGGCTCCCTTACCTAAGTAAATATATACTGATATTGGAAACTGTTCAGAGAAGGTTCATGAGGTTGATTCCATGTATGGAGGAATTTTCTTATGAATAAAGGCTGAGCAGGGTGGACTTGTACTCATTTACAAGAATGAGAGGAAACCATATTGAAATATATGATTGGATAGATGCGGACAGGCTGTTTCCCCTTCTGGGAGTAATAGGACAGAGATTATGGAAAGTGTCAGCAAACTAACTTCAAGCACAACAGATGAAGGGACAAACGTGAGAAGAGGGCAGTCAATGCAGGACTTAAGTGCACATAGTATGCAAAACAAAGTAAATGAGCTAGTAGCGCAGGTCAAAATTTGGTAGATATGATGTTGTATCACAGGAGGTTAGGGCTGGGAACTAAATATCCAAGCATACACATCCTATGGAAGGGACAAGCAGATGGGCAGAGGGGGCCTCATTGGAGCAAATAAAGCTAAATTGATAGCAAGAATTGATTGTAGAGCAGAAGGCGTAGAATCTGAGTAGGTAAAGTTGAGGAACAACAAAGGAATAAAGAACCTGATGGGAGTTGTGTATAAGCTTCCTAGCAGTAATCAGGATGTAGAGCAGAAAATAAATCAGGAGATAGAAAAAGCATGTAAGTAAGGCACTATTATGATAATCATGGGGGACTTCACTATGCAGGTGGACTGGGAAAATCCGGTTGGTAGCAGATCTCGGGAAAGGAATTCATGGAATGTCTATGAGATTTTTATTTGGAGCAGCTAGTAGTAAAGCCAAATGGGAACAGGCAATTCTGGATTTGGTGATGTGTAATGAGGCAGATTTGATGAGAAGGACCAGCTGGAATCAGATGTAATGGTATTGCATTTGAGTAAATGTAAGAATGAAGACACAAGGGGGTAGTTGGTCAGAGTTGATTGAAAGGGGAGCCTAGCAGGGAAGATGGTGGAACAGTAATGGCAGGAGATTCTGGGGCTAATTTGGAAGGCACAACAGAAATTCATCCCAAACGAGAAGAAACGTATTAAGGGCAGGATGAGGCAACCATGGCTGACAAGGGAAGTCAAGAACAGCATAAAAACAAAAGAAAAAGCATACAATATGGTGAGGATTAGTGGGAAGTCAGAGGATTGGAAAACTTTTTTAAAAAAAAAAAAACCAGAGTATTAATTAAAAAAAAGCAAACACGGGGCAGAAATAATCTGAGATTAAAGTAGCCAGAAATATAAAAGAAGATTGCAAGAGTTTTTTTAGCTACCTAGGAGTTGAGAGAAAGGCAAGAGTAGATATTGGAACACTGGAAATTGAGGCTGAAGAGTTAGTAATGGGGAATAAAGAAGTAGCAGTGAAATTGATTTGGTACTTTGCATCAGTTTTCACAGTGGAACACACCAGCAGCATGCCGCAACTTTGTAAGTCGGGGGCAGAGGTGAGTGTAGTGGCCATCACGAAGGAGAAGGTACTGGGGAACCTGAAAGGTCTGAAAATGGATAAATCACCTGGACCAGATGAACTTATACCCCAGAGTTTGAAGGAGATAGCTGAGGAGGTTGTAGTGGGATTTGTGGTGATCTTTCAGGAATCTCTGGAGTCGGGAAGCAGAGGACTGGAAAATAGGGAGGTTTTATCTGACAAATAGAACAGTACAGCACAGTACAGGCCCTTCGGCCCACGATGTTGTGCCGACCTATTATGCTACTAAGATCAAACTACCCTGCATACGCTACACTTCACTATCCACCATGTGCCTATCCAAGATTCGTTTAAAAGTGTCTAAAATATCTGATTCCACTACCATTGTGGGCAGCGCGTTCCACGCGCCCGCCACTCTCTGTGTAAAGAACCTACCTCTGACGTCTCCCCTATACCTTCCTCCAGTCACCTTAAAATTATGCCCCCTTGTAATAGTCATTTGCACCCTGGGAAAAATTCTCTGACTATCC